AATAGGGTAATGTGCCAGTTAATCACATTAGTTTGTGGTGTATGTTTCATTTTTTCTGTCTTGTGATACGATACTTCTTTTTTTCTTACTCTGTCATTCCATGAAGGATTTTAAGGCAGCCCACTGAGACATATATACTGTATAAGTCAGTTTGAAGGGCAGCTAAGGGCAGCATGGTGCCAGTACTGCTGGGAACGGATGGGGAGGCCCCACACAGCAGCGGGCGGGACTCCACAGCCCTAACGCCAGGCTTCCCTGTGGCCACGCGTAGGAAGGATTCCGAATGGTGGTAATGCAGACTGCGGTGTTTCTAACATAGATTTTGCAGCTGCTATAGGACAGTGGTTCTCTAATGGAGGTGTTCCTTCCACCTCAGGAGCATTTGACAGTGTCTGGAGACATTTTGGTTGTCACAGCTGGACCAAGGGGATGCTACTGTCATCTAGTGGATAGATAGAGGCTAAGATGCTGCCAAACATCCTGCATTACACAGGACAAACCAAAATCCACTGCCGTGGAGTCCATTCTGACTCACAGCTATCCCCGTAGGGTTTCCAAGGCTGTAAATCTTTATGGAAGTAGATTGCCTCATCTTCTTCCCATGGAGCAGTTGATGGGTTTGAACTGCTGACCTTCTGGTTAGCAGCCAAATGCCTTACCCACTGCACCACCACAGCTCCTTTTACACAGCACAGCCTCTCACAAAAGAATGAATTATCTAGCCCACCATGTCAGCAGTGCTGAGACAGGGAAACTGTGCACCAGCTAAGAAAATCTTTATCGTTATTTGTCTTCTCATGTATTTGTCTCATCTTTCCAACTAGATTGTAAGCTTCCTGAGTATAAAAATTTTGCTTTTTATTTTGGAATCAGTTCTTTTTGTGAATATCCTTGTTCTGCTGCTTACTAAACATGTGGCATAGAAAGTTTTTTCCATCTTTCTTTTCCTGATCTGTTAAATGACGCAAGTAATCCCTGCCTCACTTGATACTGATGAAGGTTCCCTAAATGCTAGTGCTCTGTCCACAGTGTCTTTCTCACTTACTGATGTTTGACTACAGTAGGTAGATTTAAGAAAACAACCAGAATGCATGTGAAAAGGATTCAAAAGAAAACTGGGTGAGTTGATTGCAACTCATGGTGACCCCGTGTGTGTCAGAGTAGAACTGAACCCCACAGTTTTCAATGACTGGTGTTTTTGGAAGTGGATCCCCAGGCCTTTCTTCCAGTGTACCTCTTTCTTCCAGGG